AAAAAAAAAAAAGCGAAGACAAACGGCCTAGGTGGTATCTCTACATATCACATCCACTTATGAGAGGATTAACTTAAAGGGAATTTTCGGTTTATTTCAACCCGTCTCCTATCGTCCTAAATTTGTTTCAAGTGACTAGTGACATGGAAATAATAGTTAGCATGTTAGCCATTAGCCTAGATACAGCCGTCGCGTCAGACCTGTAAAAACGTAATTGAACGGGCATCTTTTCAAGTGCAAAATTAGTCCACTAAACAAGCTTTTTCTCCACAAAGACCGCCTCATATCGTTAGGATAAATGTCAGAGAACATATAGAAAACGACATGTAAACGTGTGGTCTTACCTTACCGGTGTGCTGCCGTGTTTGTTTACCTAGTAGCTCTGCCTGCCAAATCGCGGCCGAAATATCGCGAGAACAAGCAGCTCTACATAAAGCCCAGCTGGTTACAATTCCAGGTGGAGGACATTAGCGGAGATAACAGGCAACTCGTCGGAGATCAGTTTGGCAAAGTAAAATGGTTCGTAAGTGTGTATTTCCTAATTGTGAAAACAAAATGTGGTGTAATAGCCGCAGCTTTCATCGACTGCCATACAAATATCCGGATATAATGAAGTTATGGCTAGTTGTACTGAAAATGGATGAAAACACACCAGTTGATAGCCTGCACCTCGCCGATCATCATGTTTGCAGTGATCATTTCGATCAAGAGGATTACCTACCGACCAAGGAGGGACAATCTAAACTTTTCCTGAAGAGAAATGCTATTCCCAAGGGGATACCTGATGCAGACCGAGTGGAGGTAATTAGTTCAAATTTCTTTATTGATGTGACAAAAGTAGCCTAGGCTAATCAGTATTTAGCCCTACCTGTATCAACTCTATTTCAATAAATAGACGTAGCCCAAAGGGATTCGCTCTTTGTTTACGTCTGGCAGGATAACTTCAAAGCAGTCACATAATGAAGTAATTTGTAGTTAAAAAAAAAAAAGTGAAGTAAAACATCCGACAAAAGTTATGCACACTGTAGGAGTTAGTCAGAGTAATTGTACTAATTTGTAATATAACAGATACAATACAGATGACCAACAGGCTTGTGATGCCTGTTGAAGATGTGTGTTAGATTAAGTCTTTCTAAACTGAAATTACTTGTATCTAACGTAAAAAGTGTGCAGATATTTTGGGTGATTTTCCACCTGTATTTTTTTTTTTCACCTTGAATCTGTAATTTCCCCCCCCCTCAATATGTTACAACCTAAACCTAAATTTTCTAAAATTCAACTGATTTCACATTGACTCTAATATGTATTTAGACTCATTTGCCCTTTGCAGCATTTGACAATCAGGGTATTCATATCAACAAACTTACATTATATGTGTAATATTGTTGCCAAAGCTATTGTGTATGTTATAATAATTATACTTATCTGTTATATGACTTTTAAAATATGTGTGTACCTACGCTGCATATGCTGCATTGTCAGCAATGACTGTGTTCCACACTAACCCATTTAGAAAATATTAGAAAGATATTTAGTGGCAATGAATGATATTATTTCGGTGAGACCTTACATGGTCTTTATAAAGTAATGTCTTCATTGAAACACTTAATGAAAAATTTATATCAGTAAATTATTTGAAAAAATTTCAGCTGCATAATAATAATGACCTTCTTATTTGGGCGTTGGATGTAACTAATTATGCTATATTTTTTAGGGAGCTGAAGGTGGTGACTCGCCCAAGGAATCAGACTTTGCTGCAGTCCCACATTCCACCCCTACAAAGATGGATGAAAGAGGAGATGATGAGCCCCCAACAACTGGATGTAGGCTTCTTCTTACAAGTCCACAACAGACGATGCCTTGTATGAAGCCATCTACATCTGGCCCATATCTTGCACTGCCTCCAATTCGGGCAGAACCAGTGGTAAATTTTGCAATGCTCACACCTTTCTGAAAAAATGGGTAATTGTATCATAATAAACTTGTAGCACTACTAGTATGGGGGTTATCTTTACGCCACACATCCATAGTATATGCCTATTCGGACTTTGAAATGATGGAATAAGTTTCAGTCTTAACTTTATCCCACCAAAATTGAATAATTATTAAATTTCAACTGAATAGTAATGATCACATATTTCATTGGGGGTTGGGGAAAAAACTACTTCTGTTTTATTTTTTAGGGAGCTGATGGTGGTGACACGACCAAGGAATCAGACTTTGCTACAGTCCCACATTCCACCCCTACAAAGATGGATGAAAGAGGAGATGAGCCCACAAAAACCGGACAGAGGCTTCTTCTTCTCGTCCACAACAGACGATGCCTCATAGGAAGCCATCTTCATCTGGCTCATATTTAGCACTGCCTCCAATTCGGGCACAACCAGTGGTAATTTTTGCATTGCTCACACTTTTTTAATTTTTTATTCTAAATACCTGAATAGTAAGCATTGACAACATAAATTACTCAAGTCACACTGAACTTATTGTTTTTGTGTGTTGAAGGACTTGACTGCTCCAACTAAGAATACATGGACTGTCCAAACTACATCCAATGTAGATGTCCCACAGGTACGTTGAATGGCTTTTTCACAATTAAAAAAAAAAAAAAATTGCTCTATTATAAAACCAACAGCTCTGCATATTACATCCATTATCAAAGTATCTTTACTGTTAGTTATAAATTCTACAACGGTCCTGTCTCTTCAGACTCAACATGAAGATGCAGCAGAAATGAGCGAACTGAGCATGAACTTTGGGGAAATGGACATAGTGGATCCCAAGGACAGCAGTTATGTCACTCCTAGCACCAGCTCATCCTCCACCACTGGATCAGCCACAACAAGCTCACAGGGAGATGGGCTGAGAAAAAGTGGCTTGTAAATGAATCCAAACTGATGGAACTTTTTCAAAGATGTAACCAATGTGGGTGCGTTATTTCTGCGAAAAAAGTCACATCAAGAGGCAGCCAAATAAAAATTGACTGGTCGTGTCTAAATGGCCACTCGGACAAGTGGGCCTCATGTCCTGATGTCAGAGGGATGGCGGAAAACAACTTGCTCTTCTGCGCAGCAACAATATTTACTGGAGCAACATACACTAGCATAGCTGAGTGGGCGAAACTAATGAACGTGGAAATTCCCAAACCAACACAATTTTACTCTATTCAATCCACATACCTCGTACCTGTTATACAGTATGCATACAAAGATCAACACGACAAAATCTTAGTGCGCCTCCGTGGAATTGGAAAGAGTGTGGATTTATGTGGTGATGCCAGATGTGATAGTCCTGGTAGGCATTTCACTTACTACTCTAAATGTAAATGCTCGATTATTGTTGTTTCACTGTGACAAATTATACACTTTCTATTCCACATACTCCTTTCAACAAAAGAAATCGTTCATTTTGAATTGGTTGAGGTACTTCAGAATGTAGTATTTGTCTATGATTAAAAAAAATCACATAAACCTTATTTTACAGATAATAACATACTGTTGATATCATATCTGATATGACATTCTTCTGCTGCAGGTTTCAGAAGCATCCAGCTCAGTAGCCATGGAAGCGATAGGTTTCAAGAGGGGGCTCAACTACCTACTTCATATGGGCGTAGATGTTGGCGTTATCACCACAGATAGGTCGCCATCCATCCGTAAGATCATGAGGGAAGATTACAGTGATATTCACCATGAATTGGACCCCTGGCATGTACACAAGAGTAAGTAATAATTTTTTTTCAAATTAGGTGTGATGAAGAAACTTGTGACAGCATCAAATAAAAAGGACAACCAAGATCTGCGACCCTGGCTGAAATATGTATCCAACCACCTCTACTGGTCATGCAGCTCAGCAAATGGGGATCCTGAGGTAGTAATTCCTTTTTACTTGTAACTGTCATTTACTTGAGACCATGAAGTCATTTATGAAAGATAAATGATTGAAATGATCATGAATATGAATGGTATTCAGATTATTATCACCCTGGTATTAAACAAAAAGACTAAATTTTTTTCTAATCTGTTGTCCGAGTCACATTATCTAAACCATGGGATCCTTTACATTAATGAGTTCTCCATGGATAAATGAGTCACTAAAAGTCCATTGTGATATCTTTAGAAATGTCTGCAACGATGGAGGTCACTGCTCCATCACATCTGTGGTGTGCATAGATGGGAGGAGGATGGTGTAGAGCATGTCTGTCATCACCCGGCCATGACAGAGGAGCAACAAAGAAAGAATTGGCTTCAAGTTGAATCCTCTGCTTTCAAGGCTCTCAACTCTGTAGTGATGGACAACAATCTCCTGCGAGACTTGAAACAGATGGCACATTTCAAACACACAGGTATGCATTTTTTAAAGACTCATGATTTACATTCAATAATCTGTTTTCTGTAACTCCTGTGAAGTAAAAAATAATACACTACTGTAAGGACTAAAAACCACTCCTCTACTGTACACCTTACTGAATGATACTAACACTGCACTATTGCTTTACTGTCAAATCACAGAATACTTTGCTATCACTTTTACAATTACCTACTAAATAAATGCTATCGCTATTAGTAGTTCTAATAATAATTGTATTCTCAGTAGTTACTCAGCTGTGTATCTAACTCCAATTGTTCTTTTTGAACTTACACCAACACAGGATCGCTCGAGGTGTATCACTCTTCAATGTTGAAGTACACAGAAAAGAGGCTACACTTCAAGTACGACACCATGAGGGCTCGTACCCAGCTGGCCATCTTGGATCACAATGCCAACGTCAGCAGAGCACAGGGTACTACCAAAGAAGGTAAAGATTTGACACATCACTGTTTATGTCCAATTATAGATACTTTGTAGTCTAGTAAGTTATAATGTTGTTGTCTGGCCAGATAAGTCCTCTGTGCAGAGCAGAGCAACATGTTTCATTAGATATTGAGTGCCATTTGCTTAGTTTAGACATCTTGAAATCCAAGAAAAATTATAGATGAGCAGTGTGGAGTATGTGTTCGTTAATGAACAACAAGCTCATATTCTGATTATTTTGGAAGTTGCAGACTTTCACTTGACCAATTAGGAGTAACTGGTGTATTTTATACACTGAGATATAGAGATGTATAAAGAATGTAAGGGATGAGCAGTCACTCTGAAACTGAGTGCTTTTGATAATGTATGTTTTTTGTTTTTTTTTCTTCAATTCACCAGTATTGTGTTACACTAAACCGCAGACAGTGGATTACACCTTTTTTTTCCTTTGCCACTCAGGACAACCACGGTACAGATATTGTTATTCCAAACAAAGTGCACAATGGGTTGCGAAGCCCATATATGTACACACCCAGCAGGCATTCCGTGACAACCTTGTGGAGCGTGTCCTGAAGAGGAGGGAGGATCCAGCTGTGATTTATACAGAGCCGTTGCCCCGTCGTCAACCACGCAGAAGAAGACTTCTGCAAAACATTGCACCTGTTCCTAGGCCTCCAAAGGCATTTCTACTTTCTCGCCACAGTTCAAGGTTCAAGCCTTATTTAACATGACAAATATCCTACATAGTATTTTTTTTATTATGCAGGATTTTAAAAACAAAATATATAGACTTGTACAAAAATAATTCCTATCAATTATCACTAATGAACCACAAGAAAACTGTGGTAGTCTGTTTATCTGCATATACCAAATTCTCTCCCTGTTATTTCTCATCTTCTCATTGTGTTGGTGTGTGGCCGGGCTCCTTTTGGGCAGGGCCGCACACCAAAACAATGACAAGATGAGAAATAACAGGCAGAGGGCTCGGTCTGTGCAGATAAATAGACTTCCACAGTTTTCCAGTGGTTCATTATTTATGATTTTGATAAAATATTTTTTTAGAAGTCCATCTATTTTGGGATTAAAATCCTGCATTCTCTACCTTTTAGCATTCACTGTCTTCAATAACTGTTTGTATATATTTTTGAAAATACATTTTTTACTTCTAAAAATTTGATTTTTTTTTTTTTTTGGTAACACTGAAATTTGACATAAATACAGTAAAACTCAGTTTTGCTATTATTACAACGATTGAAATATAATTAATAATACTGTTCAGCCTCAACATTGAAAAAAAAACTATAAGAACCATGAATGAATGACCTTTATTGATCCACATGGGAAATGCACATTACAACAGCTCAACATTTGGTGAAATCAATGTACAAAATAAGACAAGTGAAACACCAAATGGAGACTACAAAATTAAAAAAAAAAATGATTACATAATATGTGAAAACTGAAATGTATCCTGAAATTTGCAAAAAAAATGGTGGTGTGTATAGAACAGGAAAAATAAAGCACTGGGAATAATGTAATGGATTGCACAGCCGTTGAAAGACTGTAAATGGGAATTATAGGAAATACAGTCATAACTACAGTTATTGAGTCACTTTGTGGGTTAGGTGTGTAAACCTCATCATCAGATGATTGTATACATGTCCTCAGTGTCCTTGAATCCAGTATAGGTGCTGGTTGGGGAGGGGTACTTCCTTCTGATGGCAGCAATAATACAACTAGGCAATACACTCCTATTGTGACGACCAAGACGCTCTCCTTTGAACACCCACTCCAGCACCACCCGGTAGGCCACAAGTCTGCACTGGCTGGAAAAGAGGAAAGGATCAGGTTTTTGTGAAAATTATAAAGCCAAAATACACCATGCAACATTATCTCTCTCTCTCTCTCTCTCTCTCTCTCATATTCATACATATATCTGAAAGAGAGAGAAATAATAAATATCTAAATCTTGGGTAGCTTTACTTACTCTATCGATAGTTGTCCATTTTCTCCCTCTGGTCTTGGTCACCTCTTCCAGTTTATTTTTGGAACATGGAAAAAGGTCTCCAAGACAGCCCTGTGGATCACAGGGGGGAAGTCTTCTGACGCTGTGATGCAGTGTTGTGTATTATCAAGTGTCTCATACTCAGTCACATCCAGACCTTGAAAATAAGGCTGCAACCGGTCCCATTCCTTGCAACAGAGGCATTCCTCCTCTGTGGGCATTGGGCCACAGCATCCACAGGTACACCACCAATCTCCAGAGCTACGCAGCCTTGTGGCAGCAGCCATTCCTCCTCTCTCGCCTCTTTCTCTCTCCTCCTCTGTTCTTCAATTTCATGAAGCTCTTCCTCAGTGTATTCTGGCTCAAATAAATAAGGGCGGCCATCAAACTCTCCAAAATCAAATTCCTCCTCCTCAAAGTCTGGCAAAAACTCAGCCATTATTCTATAAATCTTTCATAAAATAAATGAATGAAGTTTTCAGGCTACTGTCTGGTTCTGCCTTCCAGCTGATGCTGCTTATTCAGGCACGCTGTGAGATCGCTGCTTGTTCTCGCGATATTTCGGCCGCGATTTGGCAGGCAGAGCTACTAGGTAAACAAACACGGCAGCACACCGGTAAGGTAAGACCACACGTTTACATGTTGTTTTCTATATGTTCTCTGACATTTATCCTAACGATATGAGGCGGTCTTTGTAGAGAAAAAGCTTGTTTAGTGGACTAAATTTGCACTTGAAAGGATGCCCGTTCAATTACGTTTTTACAGGTCTGATGCTACGGTTGTATCTAGACTAACGGCTAACATGCTAACTATTATTTCCATGTCACTAGTCACTTGAAACAAATTTAGGACAATAGGAGACAGGTTGAAATAAACCGAAATTTCCCTTTAATACTAGTAACTTTAACTGGTACACACTACATTTTGAATCTGTCATTACTGTGTCACTTCAATATTATTCAGTTTGGATCATTAGATTAGTTATATTCAAAGTATAAACAAACTGAGGAACGTAAGGGTGACAATGCTGCTAGCATCGTTTTATAGGACTATTTAAACAAATACAACACAGACATCAATACAGTTGCTTGGTTTTATGGACTTGCAATCACATCCAGGTCATAAATGATAACATAGTTGTACTTTTTAATCCCAGTTTTCATGAAGTGGATATTTGTTGAGGCTCACTGTTGCAAGACTATGTTATCCCAGTACAGGTCAGGCCCAGCAGTAAGGAGGACCACCCTTACACTCCGTCCATACCAGTCCAGTCTGGAGGGCCTCAATGCAAAGGGCAGCAATGAGGAAACTGCACCTCATTGGGAGGTTGACATAAAAAAGTTCAAATTAAAATAGGAAAGGTTATTATAATGTAACATAGCAGCTCCTTCACTTGCCTTCAACATTAAAGGTTCCTCACGGTCCGAACAAGTCGACAGATGTGAATTGAAATGGTGCAGCTGGACTCGACCTCTCTTCGGGCAAGTTTCCCATTATATGCTGACAGGTTTTTGCTTTTGCCTTCTTGCAAACGACACACTTGTCAACGACTTTTTGGGCAATAATTCTCCCTTTGATGACTCATGCTTTCTTTCGCATCTGCAGCAAAGTTCCTGCTACTCCGTCATGTCCCTCACTGTGTGCTTCTTGAGCTAGGAGGGTGGAAATCCAGGCATTGAAAGGTAGCAGGGGAACAGCTCTGCGGTCCTCTCTGAAAGTCTGGATCCTGCCACCGCACATCAGGAGTCCACTTGTTTGATCTTTGTAGACAACCAGTCTGTCAGTTGTTGTGTTTGGAAAGTGTACACCCTCTTGTGCTGCCAGGCATAGGTCTCGAAACACATCTTCTCTTTCGTTGACCGAGATGACACCAGATGAAGGTACTGCCTCCCACTTTTCTTTGTCTCCAATCTTGCCATGCAGGAACTTCTTTGCTGCTCTCCAAGTCCACGCTATCGTCCCGACCAGCCGCCTTAGATTGCTGAAGCGCCTTTCGTCCAATAGCTTTTGGACTGCTGCTACTGCAGGTGGTTTTCTGGACTTGGACTCTGTCTTCTGGACTCTGATTGGATCTTGCGCTTTCTGTTGACTTCGGGTGAGTACTCTGACAAATGTTTTCTTTTGTATTTTTGTGATATTGTCTCTTGCTTGTGCAGCGACGTCTTTGGCTGATTTCTTCGGCCACTCACTCTCAGGAAGTTGAAGGAACTTTGGACCCGACTGCCACTCAGATTGCTCAGTTAGGTCATCGGGACTGGCCCCTCTGGTGATGATATCTGCAATGTTCACCGGCCCTGGAATCCACCACCAATCTCGGATGTCGGTGCTGCTCTGGATCTCGCCAACTTGGTTTGCGAAAAAGGTCTGGTAGCCATAACTCTCACGCTGTATTGCGCCCAAGACGGTCTGACTGTCGATGAGATGGTACCAGCTCTCGACTTCGATTCGGCAGTGTCTCTGGAAGTAGTTCTTCAACTGGGCTGCAAAGACTGCTCCGCACATCTCCGCCTTCACAGGGTCAC